TGGACCCATTCAAAGAATTTGTATCAGTCTCCATAAAGCCTATGGGATTAGTACTAACATTAAAATTAACTATCGTGCCATAAAAGGAAGCTCAAAATTGTTGGGATTTCAAAACTCCATATTTCCCGCCCACACATCCCGAAATATCTGCCTGGATTGGAGTATCATCAAACTTTCTATCATCATGCAGCCATGGTTGTTTGCTGAATTTTCCGGCGAATCGGCACCCTTATTCGATCATCCCAAGCTGGCTTGAGTTCTTTTTTAGACTTGTGCAATTGTAATTTACAGAACGAATCGGTGTGTCCCAAGCGACCGCAAGTATAGCAAAACACAAGAAGTTTTTCATTCTGGAATTGGACATAATGAACATTACCATTAGAATCAATCAACTTCTTTCCTCTACGTAAAGGTACGAATATCCAACTTAACCTGCAGTCTCATAAATTGATTGGGATCAAAATGAACAGTCTTAATGTCATATTCAATGAAAGTACCAATGAAATTCCCTATTGATTTGGCCACTGCCGCAGACATTAACCCGACCGGCAAGTTATGTACCTGAACCCAGAAATCCGAGTATAGCAAAGGAATCAGCAGCGGGTCCTCATCATTTTTTATCAGACCCCATACCAGCAAGTGTCGATTAAAAGTCCATGGGGCACCATTCAAAACCCTATCCAAATCCACTTTGTTGTAGAACCGAAACAGAAAACGTTTGGCTCCCAAATCAGTAATTATAATCCCTCCGAGCGAATGCCACAAATCTGCGAAAGTGTTTCGCATGGACTAAAAATTCACAGTCCCGCAAGTCAAGAACATGTCGACAAGACAAAATTCGTAGGTAGACTTGGTGGCATCTGAAGATGCGTTAACAGGCAAGCCTTCTTCCTCATCATCAGCGATTGACAAATGATTAAAGTCCCTCTCCATGTTGGCAGGACAAGAAACCTTGGACAAAAGAGAGAAAGCTACTAGAGCATACGAAACCGTTACAGGCAACATAAGAACCATATTGTTTAAAATTTTAAACACGACTTTGTGGTTATAAAATGGAATAAAGACTAATTTAGCTCACGAACTTATTTATGGGATTTAAAAGTCAGATTTGATTTTTTTTAAATCAATTCAGCCACTAAATTTATTTTGATTTTTACAAAATAATAAATTGATTCAATTTAATAGGAATATCTAGATCAAACTTTTCCAATACTTCTGAATAGAATTTTAAAATCACGAAAATATTATTTCTTTAACACAGTAAATTTATAAAATATGTAGTGTAACTTTGAATTCGTTTAACATGAGAAATGCATGAACTGCATATGCAATAATCTAGTAGTAAAGTTCAATTTTAAAATATTTAAATTAGTACATATTTATGAATTTAAAATGATAGATCAAGATAAAGAGGGATATAATATATTTCATATATTATTTCCTCAATTTGATATTTAATTAAATTTTTCAATAAATTATACCACGTGATTCCAACTATAATTTTAATAAATGTCTATATAAGAATTCTCACGTTATAAATACAGCGAATAGTCAGGGACTAAATTAATCCAAAATATTAAATCTGATCTTTTTAATTATTTTAAATAAGTTTAGATGTTAAATTGATCTAAAAAGATCAAATCTTGACATTTTTTATCCTATTAAACAAATTCAAAGACAAATTAATCTTCGTTTTTTATAAAATTAGCTTCTCATATCATTTGAGTATAAAGAAAAAAAAAAACTGTACTTATAAAATCATTATTGTGAGAAGAATAATAGATCTGCCTCAAAAAAATATTTCATCTTTTCTTTTTAATTTGTCCTAAAATATGGTTTATTTTTCTTTTTTGTATTATAGTTAATCATGAAATTGTCTATTATACCCTTATTAAATTTTTTCTTATTTTCAATAACCCTCATTAATTTTTACTTATTATTTAAATATAATAATTGCTCATATGTTATTTAAAATGGTATGATAGAAAAGTTATAGGAATAGAATTGTCAAAACTCATAATAATTATTATTTTTTTAATCTGTGTAAAAATAGAAAATGAACTATTTTGAAGATGGGAGTACTTAATATAGTATATGCGAATATTTTAAGCCATAAGTTCTTGATTCTCCAACAAAAATGTTGCAGTAGCTGAACAAGAGAAAAAAGGTATATCTAGAATGTTCGCTTCCAAAAATAATTATTAATACTTGATTAATTATTCCATAAGTTCTGGACAAATTAAAACAAGTGGGCCACTTAATCATTGATGATCAGAGGCTAATAAAACATTTCACAGTGGGAATTAGTTGTCAGTACTCTAACATTTGGCTACAAGCTTCTTGTCCTGGTTATCAATGCAAATGTGATAGGGATAATACATAGAATATTTATTATATATTTAAGTTGTTCAGTACTCTAACATTTGGGCTACAAGCTTCTTGTCCTGGTTTATCAATGCAAATGTATAGGGATAATACATAGAATATTTATTTATATATTATTATTATATTATATATATATTATATATATTCAGCCCACAGAACTAAGAACAATTACTTTAAAACAAGCTAAATGAAGTTTTAAAAAACTTTTAGGGGGTATCAATATTCAGCACAGAACTAAGACAATTACTTTAAACAAGCTAAATGAAGTTTTAAAAACTTTTAGGGTATCAAAATATAATTTTTTTATATTTTTAAAGACCAAAATATAATATTTCATAAGAATTTTTCTTTTAAAAAAAATTTCTTAGAATTGCCCAGCGACCTTTCGACCATAAGAAGCTCTGCCGTTATATATATTATATTTAAATATGAATGGTGAAAAGATGATCTTTCTTGAGTCTTTCGAATTTTGATTTTTTATTATCTCTTCGGCATGACGAGACACCTAAAATAACGAAGTCATTGATTGAAATTTATAAAATGTTTAAAAATTTAGTTTGTGGCCGCTTGATGTTGATTAGTGATAATCTCCTACATTCTATTTTTTTCCTTTGATTCAACTTCTTCTCTTTTTCTCTTTTAAATTCTCTTAGCCATTTTAATAAATTCATATCTATTTATCATATAATATATTTGTTTTGATTTTTATTATTGTTATTTTGTTTCCGTATTTAGAGCTTTTTGTTCCTTCTGTATGAGAGTTTATTATAAATAAAAGTATAATATTTGATTTTATTTGGTTGGAAACTTTTGATATTGATTTGTAAATGTGAATCTTTGATCAACGAAGTCTAATAGTGCGACTTGTTCCTCTATTGATACTATTGATGTATGTTGGCGAGAATTCATATGTGTATGTTATATATTACAAGTCCTTGAAAAAACAATTTAGCTAAAAACAATTCAGATATAAAAGATCCAAAGTAATTATTATTTTACTATCCAAATCAATTAAAAAACTAGTTGGTAATAAGAATATTTATATCTTTTATCAAGATCATCTTCAAGTGGAAAGATATAATATTATATTTTCTTATATTTAGTATTATCATTCAAAAGAATATATATAATTATTTTAGCTTGTTAAAAGATCAACGAACTCTATTAGCTTATGATAGTAAAATTCATTGTCTGATCTATATGATTATTCGTAATGTTTGATATTATAGTTAATGAATTATATTTTTCAAAAAAATATTTATTGACTATTGGTTAATTAATATTAATTATAATAAGGTTTAGACCTACCTAAACCAGGTCTATGGAAATAAAAATATTATTTCATTAATGGAATTAAATTTTGGGACTCCTTAATTCCTTTTATTTTTAAATATTGGGATGAAACTGTACAGTTGGCTGAACCTCATGGACTAGTTGGAATTTTATCTTTTTCCTACCAGAGATAGATGGAAATTTATAGTTATGGGTTTTTGCCAAAGAGGAATTGGGTAAAAGTACGAGTGCGTTTAGGCCCAGTATGAGGGCCCAAAATTTGGAGAATGGGCCAAAATGGGCCTGTAGTTTATTAGTCACGCTAAGCAATTCAATTTGCATCAAATAAAAAGAAAGTTTACTTTTTCTTCGATTTGATTTCGTAATTTTTTCAATTCAATATATGAATTTAAGATTATATCAATTTAAACCTCCCATCAAATCTTAACAAAATGAATGGCTGAAACACAATAAAAGCATAGGTATTTTTATTTCTTTTTTTTTTTTTTTAATTATTGGTTATGTTTTCATTTAGAATTGTCACCACCATATCAGGCTAGGCTGTTAATCAAAATTTTAACAACAAAAAAGATTATTGAGGTTTGCTAACTGATGAGATTATCAAAGCATTCTTCACCAGAGAAAGAGAAAACTGAAACAGTGTATTAATGGAGACAAAAATTGTATTGTAGAATAGTTCAATACAGTGAAAACATTCAAGAAGCAGATGCTAGCAGCTGTTGTATCTACTCTATATATTTAACTTTGTACATTTGGTAACCGCCTCCTGCTGGCTTGGGCCCACTTGATGAATAAATATAAGGATGATGAGTGTGTATCTGTTGTGTTTGGGCTTTGTGTATATTTGAGGCCCATTTGATAACTTGGATCACTAATAATTTTGATTGGAATAGATGCTTGTCATTTTATGGTCGAATGTTTTTTTTTTCTGTTCAATTGCTGGTTGTGTAAAATACAGAAACATAGATTTAAGCCCATCAAGAACTTATCTACTATTATCTGCGAAAATATATTGTTTAAATTTATGAAATTCATTCTAAAATTTCACTTTTTTATGAAATTTAATTTAATTATATTATAGAATTAAATTCACAAAATTTAAATTTTTAGTTTTTGCATATCAGATATAAAAATTAAATTTATAACTGAATTACATAAAATTTTAATTATCTCTCTGTATTAGGCCAGAAAAAGAAAGGAAGAAAATAACTAACACTTCACTACCAGAACGACGAAGTTTTGACACAGAAAATGCCTTAACCAAACCACGTCGTTTTGAATTAACTTTTTAAATCAAAGTTCAATTCGTTCTTCGCGAGGCAGTAGTTTTGCCTCGATCTGATTTTTTCTCTTGTTGCCTTAGTCTCTCATCTTCGATTTGCCTGTTGCCTTTTATCCGACGAGTGACGAGCGCGCCTCAAGAGCGGCGATCTCCGCCGACAAGCTCTGTGTCTCGTTCAAGACTAGCTCTGTGGCTCGCAAATCGCAAGGTATTTTTGTTACTGTTAAAGTTAAAGCTCTGTCAATAATTTCGTTTTTTGTTTTCTTCACTTTACTGTAAATTGAGTATGTGGTTTGATTTTGTGAATGTAAATAGCCGTTGATATGATAGACTAAGTTAATTGGTTTCTTATGCTCTTTTTTTCTTTTTTCTTTTTTTTTTTTTTTTTTTTTTTTTCTTTTTTTTTTTTTTTTTAAACTGTTCTCTGCTTTGGGCTATTTTAAATTCCCTTGGTTTCTTTTAGTTCTTTTGGTTTTTGGTTTCCCTTTGTTTTTTTTGCTGTTTTTGTCGTTGTCCTGTTTTGCAGTTTTTTTTTTTTTTTTTTTTTTTTTTTTTTTTTTTTTAAACTGTTACTGCTGCTTTGGGCCTTATTTTATTCTTTGGTTTGGTTTTGCCGCTTTAGTTCTTTTTGGTTTTTGGTTTCCTTTTGTTCTTTTTGCTGGTTTTGTCTTGTCCTGTTTCTGCAGTTTTTATTTCTTTTCTTTTGTTTCTTTTTATCTTTGTTGCTGATTGTAAATCTTGTTTAGAAAAATCAGTTCCTTAAAATGCCGGTCAAAACAAGTTTAATGACAATAGAATCATCCCAGTGTACAGAATTCTTTGTACTTAAGTGTTGGATGGTATCTGTAATTGCAAAGACACCAAGAAAATTATACATAAATGAGTGAAATTGAAGCAAGTTGATTAAAATCCTTAACTTCTAAAGATCTAAATGATTCTGTTAAGCATTTAATTCTAAATGCATTTCAAAAATTTCATTGAAAAACCTAAACGATTGATCAATAAATATGTATCTTCTGATCAAAATCATCCTCAGTAGGTTGTAGGGTAAGGCTTTTCCGTAAAAATGCTACTATTTAATATTTAAAGTAAAATCAGCATGTGTTATTTTCTTTAGTTGAACTGACAAAAGATGCATAAACTTTATACAGTAGGCATGCAGAACAATTTTCATAAGTTTCACAAAATTAGAAACTGATTTGTAAGACTGCCAAAGTTCAGATGGGAATGAAATCTAATCCTGGAACAACAATCTAACATTGATTCTTCATATTCTCCCTCTCTCCTTTGTAGAAATTTTCCATTAGCTCATACACAAGGAAATAAAGATTACTAATTAATTCAAATTGCCTATATTTCATTTGGTTTATTTAGGTAATCAGTGAGACCTTCACTAATATGAACTGCTACAAATAAGCATTGGAAAACACAACTAATAACAACCATATATCAACACTGTATTATACATTCTCTATACATTGCATTATTGCATTATGCATTCTTCTTTTTCAGCAGTTAAATAATTTTTACTTTCATCAAATAAGCTGTCTCTTTTGTCCAGGGATTCAAGAAACTATATTGACCAAATACTTACAGGCCACATATTCGTAGACCTGGAGTTTAAATGTATTCATTCTTGCTCTCCATTATATAATTAAGTTAGTAGATTCTTGAAGTTTCTTTGAATTGTAAAAACTATGTAATTACATACAATTTCTGACAATTGGAGTGGTAAAAATAACAGCATGCTATTTTCTTTATTTTATAAGGGTTCGATAATAATCAAGTGTTTATACAGTTTAGTGTATTGTGTGTTGTATGCATTTTGTTCATTTTGTGTTAAACGGTTGTTTCTATGAATCCGGATTGCAAATGGGTAATGCTAATTCAATTTGGGACGAATATGGGTAATGCAGGGGTAATTTTTTAAATGGATTCAGGTACCTTATATTTAAGTGAGTTTGGATTGGGATACGACACTTTTTGTGTACCTGACCCGTTGCCATCCACAATATGCTGATAAATGACTAATTATTTATTTAAAGTTGGACCTTGCATGCGGGCGAGCTCCGCACAAGTCCAACTATTATTAAATTTTTTTATGACCTTTTACTCTTAAACATTGAAATTCATTCAAAAAAAGAGTGAAAAAAAGGCCACATTCCTCCTAACCTGTTTATGTCACTAAGCAAAAAACCAACCCAAGTCCTCTTCTCAAAGTTCTAAATATTTTCTTCTCAATTCAACACTTCCTTGTGATTTCCCAAACCAAATCCCAAGTTTTGTTCCATTTCATCAAATTTTGATGAAATAAAAATGAAACTACCCTCTCTGTTAACCGTTTGATTCCAGACTCCATGAATATCCAGAATTAGCAAGAGATTGGGAAGATTTTGAATGAAAGAGCTGAAATTTTGAAGAGTTAGAAGGGAAGAAGGCAACAATTATTTTTGATTTTGTGAATTCAGGTTCATTATTGGACACATTTCACTTTAACTTTTTGTTTACTCATCTTTTCTTAGATAAATTGATTGTCGTTTGCCTCAAATTTCTATTTTCATGTTTGATATAGAATCTGAGACAGAAATCTAGAGAATCTCTTTTACTTGACAGCCTTTATGCCGGTATTTTTTGTGCAGTAATCAAAATGGGAGGAAGCAAAAGCGGTCTTTGACCACCATTCAATATGTTGGCAGGTGCAGTCCTGCAGCGACTTAGTTCACTGTCAACATCTATGTGAGCAATCCTTCTTTTTCATTTTTTAGCTCTTCTTTAATTTGTTTTACTTTGCGAATTGCATATTAAGAATTCTGTAATTATATTTTCTAATTTTTTGGTGGCTGAGAAAATATGGCTAGAGATCACTTTAGTTGTTTGGGAACATGCAAGAAAAGAAAGAAAATCCATATTTGGTATTGCCTTCTTTGCGTGACTGTAATTTTATCATTTTCCTCACGGTAAGCATTTTATAAGAGAGGATATATGTTCTGCTTTTTTTTTTCAACTTGATTTTTGAGTAAATTATACCAAATCAAATTATCTACCAGTAAGATACTGGCTAGTTCAGTTAATAAACAAACCATAGGAATGGAAAAATGTTTTGGTTGCAAAGGAACTGAGATTAGGGAAATTTTGGTATAGTCATGTGAAATTTTTAAAAGCAGCTAAAATATATAGTTCATGTGAAATGTTTTTTAATTTTATAAACAGGTACCAGAGTTAACTGGAAAATAACATTTTCAGGGATTTAGAAGAATAAATTTAATGGGGAAAAATAATGTTCATTTTTTATTATTTTATTAAAGAAGACAATTAAATTTTTTAGTTTGATATGTATTCTTGAGAATTTCATTTTATTTATTTATTTATTTATTTCTGCATTTAAATTTTGTTGTCCTGATTTTCGAATTTTCATTATTAATTAATAGGATGAAACAAGTATTAGGTTTAGCTATTATATGTTTGTCAAAGTTAATATTTCTCTCTTGAAAAAATTGTATATGGAAAAACAACCACCACCACCAAGCCTTAGGTCCAAACTAGTGGGGGTCGGCTATATGAAAAAATTGTGTATGGAATTGATATAAAAATAGATGAATAGATTTGAAGTTAATAAGAATAGTTTTAAGAGTATAAAATGATAAATTTAGAATATTACATATAAGGATAGTATCGTCTTACATATAAGATAGTATTGTCAAATCAAAAGTCAATAACATATCTAGCTGTGGCATTAGTAATTTCTGGTTTGGTAATTATATTGTCCTTTATTTATAGCCAATTATTAGTTTTATAAAAAAAAAAATATTTTTTTAGTAGATTATAATTGTTTTAAAAATTTTTATAGGTTGAACAGGTGAAGAAAACTCTTAGTTAGCTTGACAAATATGGCAGGTTCCATTAGATGACCGTTTTTTGAAACCGCCTAATTCTTTTTGTTGGTTTCAGAAGTTAAGAGTGTGACAAGCGTGTGATGTGACCTGAGCAAAACTAAATATATTAAGAAAATGAATAACTTTCTGATAAAAAGTTTGATTGTTTAATTCATCAGTTGCTGAATGAATCTTAGAGGTTCAGTAAACTTGTTCTGTAAATTATGCTCAGGTTGAGAATTGCCCTTGGCGCATCATGCAAATGGAAGCTTCAGACTAGACGGAAGCCATACATCAGCATAGAAGCTAGCTGTTTTGCATCGGCTCCAAAATCAAAGAGTTCATTTAATGATTGCGACAGAGACTTGTTTTCCCTGAATAAAAAAATCACGCGTTTCAACCAGACAGGTCAGATTAATGATGCAAGGGCATTGTTTGATAAAATGGAGCAAAGAAACACCATCTCATGGAACTCAATGATCAGTGGGTATGCGAGACAGGGTGAGATGACTAAAGCAAGAAAGCTTTTTGATGAAATGCCAAAGAGGGATGTTGTGTCGTGGAATTTGATGATTTCGGGGTATGTGTCATGTCGTGGGAAGAGGTTTATAGAGGAGGGAAGGTGCTTGTTTGATAAAATGCCAAAGAGGGACTGCGTTTCTTGGAACACAATGATTAGTGGGTATGCAAGGAATGGGAGAATAGAGGAGGCTCTGCAGCTTTTTAATACAATGCCTAAGCCAAATGCTGTTTCTTGGAATGCTATAGTTTCTGGTTTTTTGCAAAATGGTGATGTGGCGCGTGCAATTGAGTTTTTTGAGAGAATGCCAGAGAGGGATTCAACATCGTTGAGTGCACTTGTATCGGGTCTTATTCATAATGAGAAGCTTGAGGAAGCTGCAAAAATTTTGCTTGACTATGGAAATAATAATAGTGGGAAAGAGGAGTTGGTGCATGCTTATAATACTTTGATTGCGGGATATGGTCAAAGAGGAAGGGTGGATGAAGCTCGGAAACTTTTTGATAAGATGCCAAGTAATAATGACAAACAAAAAGGAAGTAAAGGGAGGTTTGAGAGAAATGTGGTGTCATGGAATACCATGATAATGTGCTATGTGAAGGCTGGAGATATTGTTTCTGCTAGGGAACTCTTTGACCAAATGATTGTACTAGACACTTTTTCATGGAATACCATCATTAGTGGATATGTTCATGTCTCAGATATGGAGGAGGCGTCAAACCTCTTTTGCAAAATGCCAAATCCTGATTCCTTTTCATGGAATTCAATGATATCAGGACATGCCCTGGTAGGTAATTTGGAACTTGCTCATGAGTTTTTTGAGAGGATGCCCCAGAAGAATTTGGTGTCGTGGAATTCCATGATTGCGGGGCATGAGAAGAAGGAGGATTATAAAGGAGCAATTAAGGTCTTCTTTCGGATGCAAGTTGAAGGAGAGAAACCTGACCGACACACATTATCTTCGCTTCTCAGTGCATCTTCTGGAATTGTGGATCTGCACTTGGGTATGCAGATTCATCAGCTGGTCAGAAAGACAGTTATCCCAGATGTGCCATTGAATAATGCCCTCATCACGATGTACTCAAGATGTGGGGCAATAATTGAGGCATGGACCATTTTTGATGAAATGAAACCGCATAAAGAAGTAATTTCTTGGAATGCAATGATTGGAGGATATGCATCCCATGGTTATGCTGCAGAGGCCTTGGAACTTTTCAAATTAATGAGAATTTCCAAAGTGCAGCCTACTTATATAACATTTATTTCTGCTCTGAATGCCTGTGCTTATGCTGGACTGGTTGAAGAAGGTCGAGGGATATTTAAATCCATGGTTAGTGAATATGGCATCGAGCCAAGGATTGAACACTTCTCTTCCCTAGTTGACATTGTGGGTCGGCATGGACAGCTTGAAGAGGCCTTGGATTTGATCAATGGCATGCCATTTAAGCCAGATAAGGCTGTTTGGGGTGCATTATTGGGTGCTTCTAGGGTCCATAACAATGCAGAGATTGCCCGTATTGCTGCTGAAGCATTAATGAAACTCGAACCAGATAGCTCAGTTCCATATGTCTTGTTATACAACATGTATGCCGATATGGGACAATGGGAAAATGCATCAGAAATAAGAGTAATAATGGAAAGGAATAATATCAAGAAAGAAGCAGCAGTTAGCTGGGTAGATTCCTCCTAGTGTTGATGATTATGCGGCGGTATGTAGGTCTTGTCTCTGTCCTTATCAATCTTTAGCTCAAACTCCCCAAAACACGATCTCAACATCAAGTGCTGCATGTGAACTCCTTGATTTTGCCCTTATTTTATCATTTAATTTAATTTTCAATTTAAATGGAGGAATATTTATTGGTTATCAATATTGAAATAGTAAAGATTGCATGAATGATATTGCATAATCATTTTCGTAATTGGGTTTCTCATCAATTATGTTAGTTCTTTGGTAGGATTGGTTAAATACCTGAATTAGTATGCTTGGGACGATAATGGCTATGCTGATCAATACATCAATTAAGTTGCATGAACTTTATCAACAAGCTTTACAAAGTGGTGGATTAGTTCGAAATGACACAGTTAACTAGAGACAATGGATTGGAGAATCACATAGAGTGCCAGGAAATTACAACTCACTAAACTTTCTTCATATCTAATATGTTGTTAGATATGAAGAAAGTTTAGTCTGAGTTCACAAAATCATTTCGTTGGAGACTTGGGATTTGAGTTTTCTTCATATCTATTGTTCACTTGTTTTTTAAGCATATTTTCTAATGTTTGCATTTTGATTTCTTTGTCCTTCATATTAGGTTGAAGCGTTCACACAGAAACTTACTATGATCTATCCCAAGCCGCACAGAGAAGTTTGTTGTGATTGTAGCATATGGTGCATTTTACAAGCCAATCGTGAGCAACTAGCACAGATGAGCTGCTTTGCTAGGCAGATGTGGAGTGACCTCCCTGGGAAGTGAGAATATAATGCATCTGCATCTTTTTATATCTCAAGTTGAATTTGTAGCTGGAAACTGCAAGATTGCTATTGATGTTACTTGTAGTCAAGTCTCTGCCCAGTGTTGGATAAGGCCTCTCATTATTTGATCAACAGAGAAATTCTTGCACGAAGGTAACTTAAAATTTGAGTTGGTATCTTTTCTATCGTTAAGAGTTATTTGAAAAGGAGAGTTTCAGTTCTAAACAAACATAAATCTTTATTGATAGGAAGCAGTTCCTATCAACTGAAGTAGCAGCTCGTTGATTGATGAATTGCGAACATTTGAAACCACACAGGATTTCAAGTTGGTTTTGACATCTTTGGTACCTTGCATTGCTTGTGCTTCCGAGGTATGTCCTATTTGAGGATTAGAGAAACAAATTATTATTAAACATTAATGATCCTGGTATGTTATGTAAATTACATCACCTTGTTTTTAAAATATGTTAAGGATTACACTTAAAAATAGATATAATTACAATCCAAATTCATATTTATTTAAATATGTTCACAATTTTAACAACCCTGAGTATTGGGTGAATGTGTAAATCATACTATTGCTTTACGATGAGATTCTCGAATATTAGAGCTTTTCTAGTGTTTTTTTTTTTTTTTTTTTTTTTTTTTTTTTTTTTTTACTTAAAAATGAGATATATTACAGGATCCAAATCTATTTATTTAACTATGTTCACAATTTTAACAAACCCTGAGTATTGGGGTGAATGCTGTTATGAGATCATGACTATTGGCTTTACGATAGATTCCGAATATTAGTAAGCTTTTCTAGTGTTTTTTGTTTGTTTTTTTTTTTTTTTTTTTTTTTTTAAATTTTCTTTTTATGCATGATGCTTTTTTTTTTTTTTTTTTTTTTTTTTTTTTTTTTTTAAATTTTTTTTTTATTGGCATGATTCAATATCTGCCTCAGACCAAGTCATAAATTGGAAAGTGTAATATAATTTGCATAAAATTGTTTCATTGCTTCCCTTGATTGATTTAAAATTGAATAAGACTACAATATTGTCTAGAGCATGTTATAACTCTTGTCAAGAACAAGGCACAAGCCTTGACAGCTGAGAGCCGCATTTCATGCAAAAACACTGGACAATTGCGGAATTTGGATTGCTTCGCGACCTTGTGTTCGCTGAACCTCTTAGTGGCCTCAGGAGAGTGTTAATTTGAACATTAACTCAAGCTTGAATTTGTCCTGCCACTTGAATCTGTAAACCTGAATATTACCATTATCCCGTAAGTAGAGGTAAGTAGAGGGGTAAATATTACCATTATCCCGTAAGTTATTCTATTTTTGGAAGAAATTATTTAGTTTCTATAGTATGAAAACATCAACTATTTAATCATTTTATTAGAAGTTAAGTGATTTTACTCATTATATATGGCATTTTAGGCCTAGCAAGATATTGTCCGCTTTGGATCCAGTCTGCACAGTTTTGTTCTCGAGGGTAATGGATGATCCATCACCCTCAAAAGACCTCTTTGCTGGTCTAAGGGCTTACCCATTTTTATAAATATCACTTTCCCTCGTACTCAGTCAATGGCTCTTGCTAGTCTAAAGCTTATACATTTTTATATATATCACTTTCATTTTGTATATAGAGGGGGAAAAGTAAAAAGATTCACTAGGTACTAATAATATGTCCTTGATTTCCCAAAACACTATTATAAAATGTGGTCTGAAAAGAGAGATTGGCTAGAGAATTCAGTGTTTTACCCTATCTTAAAAGCAAGATTCAAAATCTCTAACCATGTAATTCGACCCAATGACCATATGTATCATCTGTGCACGAAGGATGCGACAATCTGGTGAATCTGTTAAAAAAGTGAGGCAACAAGAAAAAAAATGTGGTGTTAGCTGTCTTTGGATTTACATATTAGTAGCAAGTGAATAAAAAGCAGTAGATCTTCTAAACACTCACTATGTTGTTTTCAGGCTTAGACCAGTAGAATCCTTGAATTGCAATAATAATTAAGTTAGATGTTAGAAGGACAAAGATACTCAAGGAATGCCTTCCCATCCACTCCAACGGTAATGACACCCATCTGTAACCATATACATCTACCTACAGCAGGCAGTATATAAACAGTAAGAAAAAGAGATAAAAATGTCAAATAGTAGGAACGAGGAGTATATTTGGTTTGAGGGATTTTAAGTTGTGATGATTCAGAGTTAAGAAAGATGAAAATAATCTTTTGCTTCAATTTTCAGTAAGTATAGAGTAGGGTTTTCATGGTCTCGTGGTTTATGCTTCAGTTGGCTTCTTTGCAAGAGCAACCAAATTAGATTTTTAAGTCAAATCTGACAAGTATATATTTCTTGGAAAATCTAAGAAGCTGCTAAAGATTATGCTTTGCTTCCAATAGTAGGTAGAATTGACTCACCACCAAGTACAAAACTGAGAATGTGATTCCTGCCAAAGCAGAAGTAATAAGCATATAACTAATTGTATAGAGAGATTTATTCACGGGGATGCCTGCAAAACAAAAGGGGAAGATCAAAGATTTGCTTTCAATATGTATTTACTAAGAACCTAAAATTGATTGCTAAAATGAACAAATTGGGGGAGATCAATTTGTTCTTATTAGTAGAGCACCTTGCTTTACTTTTGAGGATGGAATGTTTTCTATAGCAACAAGTGTTATCTATCTTCATAACAAAAATGTGTCGATAGGTACTTATTGAAGGCAAAAGTTATGCGCTGTTGACGAGCATACCTACGAAGGCGAGGGATGATCCAAGTAGAAGAAGTGAAAATGAGAAGAAAGACCAACATTCCACCCGCCCTTTGTGGTCCTGAAAAGCATGTGTAACAAGTAACGTCAATAAGCTTGACAAGCAATTACCAAAATGGTGATTGTTCTATAGTACGTGAAATAGCAGTAGCATGTAGCTCAAAGCAGAATGCTTTTGCACATCATTATAAATCTCCTATACGACAGTGACCATAAATAACTACAGGTGAAAAAGATAAGAAAAGAAAATTCACGGGGAGAGTAAAGAATGCATATGATATCACCTTTACGTGAGCAAGGACATGGCCGAATTGAAGTCCAATAATGCAGGTAACTGCAGCCGTCAAGGAACTGTAGGCACAATAAATTTTAGCGCGTTACCTAATTGTCAAAAATAAGACTGAATAGTATGCGACTCATATTGATGTGTAATTATGTTTAGTAGAAAATTATCATCTTTTGACATCCTCCTACTTTCTAGACTTCGATTTTGATAATCTGTCTATGTACGTTTGATTCATATTATATATTATTCGATAATATCTCAACTTTGACTCTCCTAAATCTTCCACTTGGCTTGTTGAACTTCAAAAAACGTTTGCCAACTACCATTCAACAGAAAAAAAACAGGTCACTTGCCTCTTCATGATTCTATTGATCAACTTAATTGAATAAGTAGCTTATTGATATGCATTTCAACTACCTTATTAGACCTTCAGGATCATAAGGAGCATGACACCATGAAGGTGAATTCTCTGAAACTTGGCCATTTGTCATATTGCATTCCTATAAGTTGAGATTTTTGTTAGGGATCAATACATTGCATATGGATGGATAAAGACCACCATAAAAAGATCAATATAGAATACCTTCAGATTTCTATAGACGGGTTTTGTATAGAGATGATCAATACCAAGAACATAGCGATCGATCATTCCAGCTGAATTACAAGCAGGTCCAAGATCGCCTCTTACAGAGCAGCTCACCTGTGAAAAATATGAAGAATGTATTCAAATTCATGACTTCAAACGTCAAGCAATAAAAATTTTAACTTCATTTTGAAAGGATAATACTAGCAGAAAATGCATGCGCAATGACTGTATTGACTTACGTATGTAAAATGTACTTCAAAAACACATCTCTCCTCTAATGATGTTTTAGTCGAGTATTTGGACGATGAAATAATATGGTGTTGGCAAATTAACTTGCTCTTCATAGAAAGGTGACGAATTCTAGTAGAAATCTACATTAGAAGTTCTAGTTCCAGAGATAAATGCTTCAAGGCGCTCATAACATGGTCAAAATTGTAGCAAACAAAATTTAGATAATGACAAGCATTCTCTAGTGGTTCTGTTCTCCATGAATTTAATTTCTATATGCACCCTCACATACATGCACACAATCACAGGCATAAAAAAAAAAAAAATAATAATAATAGCAAAAGAAAAAGGTTTCAGTAAACTCTCACCAAGTAAACATAACTGCCATTGTTTGGAAGAACAGAAGAAGTTGAATTGGAGATTTCAAATTGCCAATCTGGAACGTAGAGACCGTGTAATAATCCCGTATAAATTGCACACAATGAAAATGCCAAAACCCTGAAAATTTTGCTTCATCAATAAATTGAGAAAAGAAAGCCAAAAAATTAAAAAAAAAAAAAAATTGCAATTCAATCCATTAAGCTCATACTCACCATCTGATTAGTATTTTAAGATATCAATTGAATGTTGATCTATGTATTACATGTTCAAGGATCTGAGTTAATGGTGTGTTAATCAGGCAAATATTTATTAAAAATCCTGCTTATTAGGCCCAAGTGAGAGAGGGAAAATAAATGAGTATTGTTACTTAAGCCATTTCGTGAAATAGAATCAAGAATTGAAGTCACATTACAATTGTTAAACATAACACTTTTACGATGTCAATTATGCTTGAAGTTTAATAATATAAAGGCCAATGCAAGATATCAAAACCTTACCAATGCCAATAATAAGGCTTGAAGAAACCTATTTCTCTTATCGGTCGAGATGAAAGCCAAATCTCACATAAAGCCGCAACAATGTAGCCAATAGATATTCTCTGGCTTGAATGACAACAAAAACAAGTTTAACAATGTATAGGACTAACGTAAATGAACAATGACACTGGACTACGGTTTATGTAATTAAGAAGGAAACTTTTAATCCTACTTTAATGACAATCACTTAATCTGTACTCGTGAAAATTTAGACATGTGGTGTAAGGGCCGTTCAACGATAACTTTTTATGTAGCTTTTAGCGTTTTAATAAATATTGAAATACTATTCGATGACCTTAGAGTTTGAGTGAATGTATTATGAAACAATATTACTTTAGTATAGCTATTAGGATAGATAAACAGTTAATTTTCCGAACATGGCATAAGGGTATTGAGGAAGGAAATATTAATACATGGAGAAAGAAATTTTTGAGTACCTGCAGAATGCCAAGCCAACGTATTCTTTCGATGTCAACACCATAAGCCAATGAATTTATCCCATGAAAATAACCACCTGAAAAAAAATGAACAATTTAACAAATGTATGCTAATTAAATGTATGTCCCGATAGTATTATAGATATATACTGCTATAAAATCCACAACAATAATTCAATTGTCTGACAGTGTCACCTTGAAGAAAAACACCCAAGAAAAACAATTTTGCTGCCTTAAGTACTGCCTTCCATGTAGCATCTACTCTGTCTGATACTTTCTGATAAAAACAGAACTTTCAGATTAAAAGCCAATATTAACCAAATAAAATTAGCAAGTGAATCAGAAGTGATAATTAACAAAATGCGTTGAATTGTCAAAATCAACAATTTTCTATTCATAAAACAGAATTAGAATATAAAAATCCCTAATTAAAGCAAACATGCATTTCTTTTGAAGTAATAATAATTATAGTAGTATACTTACCTTATAAACAAGTGCAAGAGAAACTCCGGCTATGAAAAGAAAGAAAGGCATCACAAAATCCGCCAAGCGAAGGCCATTCCATGGAGAATGAGCAATGATCGGAAAAATCGATCCCAGATAATCCACAATCATCATTAGCTGTAGCCACCAAATTGATAACAAACATAAACAACTTTTTCGGTTCTGAGACAAACAAGTTACGCTAGAAATTTTGTTAAAACTAACTTTTCTTTCCTAAAATTTAAACCAAACAGTCCTAAAATTTAAACCAAACAGCTCAGGCACTAAAATAATGCTTATAATAATAATAAAAACGTTGAAAATTGAGGAAGAAGAAACCGTAAAACGTAATTCGGACGAGAATCTGAAGAACGAAGACGAGAAAGCGAAAGGTAAGTAGGGAGAGTTACAAAGACGCAGAGGCCGCGAAAGACGTCGAGAGAAGCAACACGCGTGGGCTTGTTATCGGAGAGCGGCGATTGCAGCAGCAGCAAAGGCACTTCTAAGTCAGCCATTTTATAAGGAGAGAGAAAAGAATGAGAAACAAGAAAGAAAGAGAATAAGTATAAGGGAAGATTAATATTGTAGCTTTGATTATTATAAGTTTGGCGTTTTTTCTTTTGCAGAGAAGAAGACGAAGGAAGGAAAGGGCTGGGTGGCGGGTAGCCCTTTTGACTGTGTGTACTGAGCGTGCTGTCCGTTTTAAAGCGGTCAAAAGAGAATTTGTTTTAGTAAGATACGAAGTGTAGTAAGGTTTTGGGTTCAGCAGGAGTAATGTAACTGTTGTTTGCCACTGGGTATAAGAACAATCGTGGAATCTTTTTTAAAGATATCAAGAAATTAACACCAGTTATAGCCAAGTCCCATCCAGCGTTTAGAGCATATGGACCACCACCACACATTATGTGGGTCCACTTGCCAACCTGCTTCCGATAAAATCAAACGGAAATATTATGTGGTTTTGATTGATTGAAGCAATCTAAAAAGTAGAGATGTTAAAATCAGCTATCACACGCATAAATTAGATTTGCCTAACAGAGAAATTAATCACGATAAAGTTGAGCCCAAATAAATTCGTGCATACACTAGTGATTTATATATAATACGATAAATATATATATTAAGTGAATTATACATGTATACATGTCATGTTTTGATCTGTATATAAGTGATTTATATATATTTTAAAAGGAAGGGAAAGGGCTGTCGGTGGCGGGCTAGCCCTTTTGACTGTGTGTACTGAGCGTGCCCCTGTCCGCTTTTAAAGCGGTCAAAAGAGAATTTGTTTTAGTAAGATACGAAGCGTATAGTAACGGTTTTGGGTCAGCAGGCAGTAATGTTAAACTGTTGTTTGCCACTGGGCTATAAGAACAATCGTGGAATCTTTTTTAAAGATATCAACGAAATTAACACCAGTTATAGCTCAAGTCCCATCCAGCGCTTTCAGAGCATAATGGACACCACCACACATCTATGTGGCGTCCACCTTTGCCAACCTGCTTCCGATAAAATCAAACGCGAAAATATTATGTGAGCTTTTGATTGATTGAAGGCAATCTAAAAAGTAGAGATGTTAAAAATCAGCCTATCACACGCATAAATAGATCTTGCCCTTAACACGAGAAATTAATCACGATAAAGTTGAGCCCAAATAAATTCGTGCAGTTACACTAGCCTGCATTTATATATAATACGATAAATTATATATATTAAGTGAATTATGACATGTATACATTGTCATGTTTTTGATCTGCCTATATAAGTCCGATTTACCTATATATTTTAAGTGAATTATACATATCGTGTTATTCACCCGTATACGAGTGACTCAAATACTATATATATATGAGTCACTCGTTATACGGAGTTGATTAACACGATATGTATAATCCAATTTTCAAAATATATATAAATCACTTATATATAGCGTCAAAATTATAGATATATATAATATATATATATATATATATATTAATACTATAATATATATATATATATATACTATATATTAAGTATATTGTATATGCATACGTGTTATGTTCCTAACCCGTATTTTGACTCATTTAAATATATATTAAGTATATTGTATATGCATACGTGTTATGTTCTAACCCGTATTTGACTCATTTAATTAAGTTTGGTTGAATTTTTGGATTCATATATGATCTATTTAATTAAACAGATTATAAATGTCATATTCGTGTCATTCATTTAATTTGCATTTTGTGTTTATATTTAAAAATTTTGCATAATTATTAAACAGATCGTGTTTATGTTGATTCTAATCATGTCGCATGGTAGATGAGTTTATGTCGAAATCTATCTGCAAACCCATTTTGACACTCCTAAAAACCAACTAAGATGAATACTTTTCTTAGAGAACTGTTATTTAATGATTGAAATTTCTCTTAATTATTAAACTCTTTCTTTGGTTGGTTCCTAAATTAAAAATTCACTAAATCAACCACAACTCAATCCAAAACGCATGCCTTTATTGTTAAATTAATATGATCACATTATTAAATATGAATGATTAGATAGTATTTTAAAGGATATTGTTTTAAAAAAATAAGGGATATTTTTACCTTTTTATTAATACTTACTGATTAATAAAATAATAATTTTTATGAAATGATCAAATAATTTAAGGATGATGATCTGAATGATTATATAATAAAACACCGATGCCATGTCACCATTATATGTTGGAACGACAATTTTTAAAAAATAAGACACTTATCATATATAATAATGCAAACTGAAAATAAAATGAAATAGAGATGGAAATAATGAATTAATTAAATCTTATTTATATATCACTTTTGACAAGTGTCTTATTTTTATTGACTTGTTATTCATAATAATAATATTATTTTATATTTTATTGAATTGTTATTCGATTCATTAATTGAAGTAACTTCCGAGAAACAATTAAGACCGTACGTGTGCATTAAAGTATGGGGGTCTGTTGGTGGGCCTATAAATAAATTATGAAGTACAAAGTGCAGTTTCTCAAATTTAGTCCATTAATGTGTGAGTTGGGCCATTTGAAAACCTGTACTTTTCTTTTTTTTCTTTTTTATAAATGTTCTTCTATAGATTAAATTTTAAATTTACTGAAATCATTTGCTGTATTTAAATATAGATTATCGTTTGAATAATAAAACAAAATATTTATATACATCAGAATATTTTTGAAAAGCAGAAAGTCATTTCAAATTTTTCTCTCTCTTTTTTTTATAAAAAGTTTCAGATTGAGAATATTAAAATTCATAGTATTTATCAAAATTTTATGGAATTTTTTTAAAAGTCTTCAATTTGAAAGGAGATATATAAATATTTTTTTCCATGAGCATTTCTATGCTTTTTTCGGACAGTTTGCAAAAACTGAAGGTTACTTTGACGTCAGAAAGATTGCGTAAAGAGCAAACGAATTATGCTATGCATTGCGCATTATACGAAATGCACGCACGCAACGTATGTTTGCTTTTCTCATCCACTAACAAGTTGATTGGACGAAAGGTAAGCTTCGGTTGGACATTCCTGCACTCAGTCTATTTTGAAAAGTGGTTGGACAGCGCTAATAAATTAATTTAGGATATATTTATTGTTTTAGTTTTTATAATTATTATACAATTGTAAAAAATTATATATTCAAAAATATTATAAAAAAATAATAAAAATCAAATTTTATGATTTTTATACCCAGTAATTCATATTCAGATCAGATTGATGTGGATTATTTTCATATAGGGTGGAGTGGATCTCATCATATAAATATTATTAAATTATTTTAAAAAAATTTATACTCAATGAGATTTTTTTTTTTTTTTTCATTATTTTCATATAGGGTGGAGTGGATTCTCATCAATTAAATATTATCTTAAATTATTTTTAAAAACAATTTATTAACTCAATGAGCATTTTTTTTTTTTTTTTTTTCATTATGATGAACTCTGTTTCTTTTTTTGTTTTTTTTTTTTTTTTTTCATATGATGAACTCTGTTCTTTTTTGTATGTTTGTTTAAAATATTTAAATAAAAGAAAAAACAAAAACATAAAATTAACAAAAATATGGAAACAGAGGCCAAAGAGAAATAAAACCTGAAAATGAAGCTTTTTTTTTTTTTTTTTTGGCTTAATTTCCATTGAATTATTTTCATGCGGCGGTTCATTTTCTGGCATTTTCTCAGCAACCAATCAAAAACGTGGCATAAATTAAAAGAAAACAAGAAAAGCTAAAGAAAGCTCACAAGAATGGAGATGCCGCGAAAGACATCAAGAGAAGCGAGACGCGATGTTCTTCGATTGCTCTTTAGCTCTCCTTCATCGATCTTCAATAGCCCATAGCCAGCCATTGCCATTACACCGTAGGAAACGAAATGTCGCGAAATATCCGAGTTTTATAGAGCCGAAATCTCGGCCTTTTGATTTAGCGAAGGGACATCTTTAAACACAGAACACAGAGGACCTTTGTCTTTAAATAGGCGAAGAAGATGGATTAGGACATACGTCTGATTGGCACATGAATACGTGACTGTCTGTTATTGGTCACGGAAAAGATAGTGGTAGTGTGTTTGTGTCTTTTGGAATCATCTATTTGTGTTCCGCCTTAAATTTAGCATTCACTTTCTTTTTTTTTTTTAAAAAAAAAAAAAAAAAATTCATTTTATCATGCAGAAGAAAGAGAACCACTAATTTCATTTTGTTATTTCAATTTAAAATGTACTTTTTCAAAAATTATAAATTTATTAAATTTTATTTTTTTTTTTAAAAAAAAAAAAAAAAAACAATATCATTTTATCATGCAGGAGAGAAAGAGAACCACTAAATTTCATTTTGTTATTTCAATTTAAAATTGTACTTTTTACAAAAATTATAAATTTATAAATTTTAAAAATATATGTAAATTTTGTAAAATTTTTAGTTTTATTTTTTTTTTCATTTTAAAATGGCAAAAAAATTGGATTTCCATCAACCCTTAATTAGAATTGGCTTCTTTCAGGAAAAGAGCAACGAATTGGAAAGCCAAATACCTGTATTATTCATATATCTGCTTAAAGTTCATTCAATATAATGTAACAAGAAAAGGCAAGTATTTGAACCAAATAAAGTTATCGTATTATTTTTTTTCCTTACTACATTTGATTTAACAAAACACTAAAAGGTTTGATGCTGATGGTTTGATTGGTAAAATGATTTCTAGTACTAACTACTCTCTCCATTTCAAAATATAAATCATTTTGAGTGATCATTATATCCCAAAATATAAATCGTTTTAAGTATTTTAAAGAATAATAAATGATAATTTTTTAATATCACTCTTATTTACATTAGATAGAATAAAGTTACTCATAGTTTTTTAATTTTCGTGTAAAAATATTAAACGATTTATAATGTGAGACATAAAGATTATTTATTAATTTTTAATTTCTTTTCATGTGAAATTTAATCAATAACAAGGGAAGCCCCGCAAAAGCCTACTCTTTTAAAAAATGTATTGACATACGAGTAATGCAGGCGGTGGACATAAAGGTGAGTATATTGATGGATATGAAAACTTATCTATAAATATTGTTGCAATGGTAATTTATAAATACGGAAAAGAATTACCTACATCGAGTATATAGATTTACTTGTACATCAAATTAATCACATATAGAATTTTAATTCAAAATAAGAGTATTTAACCATTTACGATCATGTACAGGAAAAAAATATATAACGGTAATATTTTTTTAAAATGCTACTTTTTGATTGGTTTGATATATAAGACCATCTATACACCAGACGTATGCAAG